GCTGAAAATTCATATACTTTTGTGATTAATTAAAATATTAAATTAAGATATTAAATATAAAATAAGATATTAAAAACATTACATAATATTTATTGAATTAAATATTATTTATTAAGTATATGTAATACACATATAGTTAAGAGTATATTATTAAGTATAGTTAACATGCGTTAAAACAAGTTCAGACAGAAATACTTATACAGAAAAAGGTCCAAATTAAGACTGAAACGTTTGATAATATTGTATCACTTAATAAAGCAATAATCAAAATACAACCACATTATGCATATTGCTCGTATAGTTTTTCATTTTTATTTGAATTTTAACGAGTACATCTAAAATAGTTAACATTTAATAAAAAATTAATTTAAAAAAATTTTTTTGCGTTGAATTTTTTTCAGATATCATATCACTATTTTGAAGAAGAAAACGGAAAGGTATCAATATTAATGAAAGTTGGAAATGCAACGAATCAAATATTTTCCTTTATGATTAAACATTATAATAACTTTTATAGGTCGAATTTATCTAGTATATATATATACTAGATAAAAGTGCGAGGTTTAATGGAGGAGTTCTCGCAGTAATACAATCTATTTTGTGAGGTTCTATAGGTTTAAAGTAGTATGTCAACGTCAAATTATAGGAGTTCAAGTTTTAAAAGAGGAGTTCAAGTTTTAAAAGAGGAGTTCTAGGTTCTAATTCCGTAAAAATAGGTTCATATAGGCTGTATGAGCATTAAAAGAGACGCTAAATTTCGACTCGGGTGGCTTCACACACTTTTAATAGGACTAGCAACAAAAATGTACAAACCGTATTACCAGAGGATGTTTAACCATTGTTCGAGAGTGTTTCTAGCTTAACTATCTTATCAACGTTTCTCTACTTACGACTACGTCATTTATGTCAATTTTACACTGAAGATGGCCACATCTTAGGCCGAAACGTTTGTAATAATTAGGGCGCGGATGTTCGTGCACGATCCCGTGTCGCGCGCAGAGAACCGCTGCGTGCGAGTGAGTCGAGTGCTCGCTGAGGTAGCATTTCTCGAGAAAACCCGATTGTCAATTCATCTGAATTCAATATATCTATCGTGTATAA